TACAACAATCCCTAATGTTTTTTTTTTTTTTTTTTTACATTTAATAAAAATTAAAATACTAATTAAAAGGAAAATTCTGTCATCATTTACTCTCATATCGTTTCTGTGGACAGTAAAAAACAAAACAACAACACTATTTTGAAGAATGTTGGTAGCCACACAATTTTGCTTCTCATTGACTTCCACTGGATGGACAAAAACAATGGAAGTCAATTGGAACTGTTTGGTTAACAACATTCTTCAAAATATATTCTTCTGTTTTCCTCAGGCAAAAAAAAATAAATAAATAAAAAAGCACAAACAGGTTTGGAACAGAGTTTTCATTTTTGGGTGAACAATCCTTTTAAATATCTAATAAATAATTAAATGTGAATAAAATAAAATAAATTACATTAAAGTGAATATATGTATAATATGTAACATCAATAATATAATCACGTTATACAGTCAAACCAAAAATTATTCAAACACCAGATATAATTTTTGATATTTTTTTTACTAGTGGGTGGAGGACACTACAGTTCAATTTAAGGGAGGATAGCAAAAAGTAAACTGACACACAGTATTATACCTATTAATTCTTCATACATTTTTTAATTTTCTTTTTACACCACAGACTGAACAAAATTGGTTGCCCTAAATTGGTATTATCTAATTATGTACTTAAATTTAACAGCTGACAGCTGTTCACCCTAATTTATTACATACCTTTCTATCAAAGATGATCATTATCAAGATGAATTTGTTCTGACACAGTTTAACTCTGAGTTCTTGTCATACTTTATTACCATTTTCTAAACTATAGCGAATAAACTGTAATAATGTGAGAAATCTTGAAGGTGTCAGCTTACGTTTCACATCCTATATATTTTTTTTTACAGTATATATATAAATAAAATAATTTATATGTATTATTACATTCTTGCTTATTATACATTTTTGTTATAGTGATCTCTGTGCAATTTGGATAGAGCGTCTTTTAACACTGAAAAACGACACACTTCACATTTAACCTTCATTTTATTTAGATTTAGATATTTAGATCATCTGAAGTGGAGAGAAACAAAATGGCTTGGAGGACTGAGTGTTGCAAAGGTTCAGGCCAGGCATGGGTGTCGGATCGGGGTGCGCTTACATAAGCCTAGCTGCTCTGCAGGAGCAGAACTGTTTGCTTGTACTTGCCTGCTGGTATTACCTCAGTTCCATTAGCGACCTGGAATTCAGTAGGACACAGTAACAATGAGCTAGTCAGCAGCCTGTTTGCTTTAATACCATCTGAGGTTTAGCAGGGAGTTCAAAGCATACCACTGTGCAGCACACACAGGCTAGCTCCTCACAACCAGACAGTAGACTAAGATGATCTCCAAACTCTCACTCAAGTTTCCTTGCATTTATCATGCTGGTTAACATGGTCATCTGCAATACCTGTGCATCGATTATCTTCTGCTTGGCGTCTATGACCGCTTGCATCTCTGCATGGTCTCTCTTCAGTTCTTCCTCCACGGCCATCAGCCTATGAGCCACAATGACACAAACCTGGTCAGATTTCACATGGTTTTGGAATATCAAACAGTTTCGACATTGCAGATTTGGTTGTTTATGGATAGTTTTGTTTATGCACAAATTAAAGATTAAAAAGGAAAAAGGTATAGTATAGGAACTAGTATTGTCAAAAGTACCGACTTCGGTACAATGATTATCACTTCACGCTCTTCACCGAGCGCTCGCACAGATGCACACGGGAGTGTTTGAAAGCCGCGTCTATCAGCAGATCCCTAATATATCTGCACATAGATGGATCTGCTGACAGACACCTGCTTTCAAACGCTCCTGTGTGAGCGCTCGGTGAAGAGCATGAAGCGATGATCATTGTAGCCAATCACAGTCATATCTGTTGAGCGCGTGAACACAATGGCCAATCAGCAGTGTTTAAGAATCCGCTCAAAAGCACTCAAATGTTAGCGGGAAATGGACGTTTTTAAAATTTCAGTACTGACTGATACCGAAGTCTGTACTTTTGACAACACTAATAGGGACCAATTCTTACTATTAACTAGATGCTTTATTAGCATGCCTATTATTAACATATTGGCTGCACTTATAAAGCACATGTTCTGCATGACCATATTCTACATCCCTAATCCTACCCAATACCTAAACTTAACAACGACCTTACTAACTATTAATAAGCAGCAAATTAGAAGCTTATTGAGGCAAAAGTCTTTGTTCAATGGTTTGTTAATGGCGAGAATTGGGCCTTAAAATAAAGTGTAACCCAAAAAAAATTACTTAAACACATTCATACCTTAAATAAAGGATTAAGGAAAAAAAACTGCATTTATACAGTATTGTATTGTTAATCAACAAAATACTAAATATTTAGAATGTATTTTGAGGTTTGCAACCAAAAGTATAAGATTTTCACTCCTTTATATATATACTGTAAATTTGGTCATACACTCACCGGCAGATAATACTCTTCATCTGGCTGTCTTTCTCCTCTTGTTGTCTGCGCAGACGGTCCTCACTGTCCTCCAATCGAGCCTTGTATTCCAAAAGCAGCTTCTGCATCTGCTGTTCCTGTGCCAGCAGCCTCCTCTCATATTCCTCCAGTCGCCGACTAGACGCCCGCAGACGCTCCTTCAGTTTTGAGATTTCCTGTTCGTACTTCAGAGAAAAATAGTAGAACCTCTTAAAACCTACTACAGTGAATATCTAAAGCATATTTGCAGCAATGTCTCCTTTTTGTACCTTCTCTACATGTTTGGCATCATCTTTGCTCTGTCCTTCCTCTTCCTCATCTTCATACTGGCCGTTATTCAGGACCCATGCTGCTGTTCGCTCCACTGGGGACAGGGTGACTGACTCTACAGGTGACTGTACCTTATGGACACATGCAAAAGAAAGCATTACTTGGGTTCAAACATGTCTGGGTAAAGCAAACTCTTTCCTCATCTCGGTCATTACCTGTTTGGCGCCTCGTCCTCCTGGAACCGAACTGTCTCTGGAGCACGAGGACTGCTGTCTGGATCGCTCACCGCTCTGCTGCATGGGTTCAGTGTTGATGCTGCTGCTGCTACGCAGGGAAGTGCTGTGAGGAAGCGATCTTGGAGTTCGCGCCGCTGTGTTTCCTGCCACCAGCCCCACTCCTCGACTCTGTTGCTCCACCTTTACGATATGTGCCGTACCTGCGCTGCTCTGCCTCGGTACCGCCACAACCTGGGCTCCCGAGTGCTGGTCTGCCAGGGGAGGGTGCCAGCGTGCTGTGGGAGGAGGTGTTTCTTGTCCCTGGATGCTTTTGCGGGTGAGTTCTTCCTCCACGCTGCTGGTGGAGGGCATCCGTGCTCTGGGAGTAGCTCCCCGGCCCCCTGACGCACTGGGACTGGCGCTCCGAGAGCTGCCTGTGCTCAGGTTCTCCGAGCTGGAGTCTGGCTGCAGGGACTGGGCGGAGTGCGTGGACTGGGTTGAGTGCGTGGATTGTGCGTGCAGGTTACTGAGGTGGTAAACAGGGTTTTGGAAAGACAGCGGTTGCAGGCTACGCTGCTGGCTGAGGGAGGGGTGTATAGGGCGCCGCACTTGTGGGGCACTTTGCGGCAAGTTGTCTCTTAGTTGGGGAACTTTTGGATGGACAGGGGGCTGGTGGAGGTGTGGAGGTGGGACAGGGCCAATGGAGGCCTGAGAGCCCACTCGGCCTAATCTAGGTGGGGCTTCGTTGAGAGAGTTAGGACCTGGATGCCCTTGTGCCAGGTAAGAGTCCTGCAGGTCCATTAGAGATATACTGCGTCCATTCGGTAATGGACTGTCTCGCTCCTCTTTGTCAGAGAAGCTCATGCTGTGAGTGGAGGACTGCTGACCCAATAAAGGATGCTTGCCTCGGACTAATGCCTCCATGTGCTCCTGGACAGGAGATTTGATGCTCCTCATTTCACTGAGGAACAAGATACAGAAGAATGAATATATGAGAATAATGCAGTAATAATATTGCACATTTTATTTTAATGGTCCAATTAAAGTCTCAGTGGTTTTGGAAATTTACATGTGCTAATGTAATGTTGATTCATACTTTGGTGTTACAATGCATTGTGGTCTATTCTTGTCCGATACTGATTGGCCTTCTCAGAAAAATATAAGTAGGCTTGTCAGCCATCTGTTCCGAAGCCTTTTTAAAAGTTGCGATGAAACGCAAGTTGGGACAGATCTTTTCTTCTGTATTGTGATGTACATTCGAGTGAAATGGATTACCAAAAAAGAAAAAAAAAAAAAAATGGTAGGACGGGACTTGGTTCAATTGATCCATTATTGACTGGATAAACTAGTTCTAAATGCAAACTTTGGAGAAGTGTGGTATACGTCACAAATGAAATGGCATGAAAGGGAAACTCACCCCATCTACCTTCTAAATGAACAATCTATTGTGAATGATTCATCCATGCATATGTTTCTTTCTTTTGACCTTTTAATTTGTGACCCTGGACAACAAAACCAGTCTCCAGTCGCACGGGTATATTTGTAGCAATAGTCAACAATAAATTGATTGTATGGGTCAAAATTATAGATTTTTTTAGGATATTAATTAAAGATCAAGTTCCATGAAGATATTTTAAAAATTTCCTACTGTAAATACCAAAACTTAATTTTTGATTAGCAATATGCATTGCTAAGTACTTTTTTTAATTTTAAAATTGAGAATTTTAAGTACATTTGGACAACTATACATTTTTTCAATATTTAGATTTTTCGCACCCTCAGATTACAGATTTTCAAATAGTTGTATCTCGGCCAAATATTGATGATGTATAAATCTCAATTTGATAAAATTGACCCTTATGACTGGTTTTGTGGTCCGGGGTCAAATGTATCATTAAAATGGTCATAACGTAATCTTCTGGTGAAATGATAAGAGCTCCCACCCTAAATTTTTGATCTTTTCAATAGCCTGCTTCACTCAGATGTACGTCACAATAGAGAAGAAAAGATCTGTCGCTACTTCCATTATATCGCACCTTTAACCAGAAATGGCCCTTTAAAATGTTCATGTTTCCACAAGTTCAAACTTGGCACTTTCACAATACATGCGAGAATCAATGATGTTCTTCTCCTTTTAGGAACGCACCACGTTTGATCTTGTGGATGAGTGAGTAACTACTATAATTTTGGAATAACAACCAAAACATTTCAGTCTGTTCCTCACACAAAGCTTAATTACGGCTTTAGGAGATTTAGAATATAGCGCAAGAGTCATACATGAAGTAGAAAAAATTATAAAATCCAGCAATGTCCTACCTGTCCGCTGGGTCTTCAAATATTCTCTGCAGTCCTGAGGACACACTCCCACTGATGTCATGAGCGGAGCTGTGGTCCTGGAAGCGCCTGAGCTGCTGCTGGATGGGGGTGGGGCTGGACAGCGAGCGGGTGATATCGCCAAGTATACGCGGCAGGGGCCCCAGTTTGGCCACCGTCGCCTGCAGGAAGGAATTGTCACCCTGGGTTGGCGTGTAACCACATTATGGACCACAGAGGGCAAACACATGGAGCCCGAGAGTTTGAGGGTGCAGATGGCAGATTGGTGGTTTGGCAGGAGGGTTTTTTGGTTGGTCGAGATAGTAGGCACCATAATGCATAGGTGGTAGGACAGCGTAACCATGGAGACACAGTGTGTCGGACAGGAAAGGGTGGAATGGATAGTGACATGGGCAAACAGGAGAAAACAAAAGGAAAAAAGTCAAATTAGGGATAAATAAAAGAAAAACCAAACACATGCTTCTACAAAAATGACAAAAGCAGTTCCAAAAACAACAAACAGAAACAAACAAGGTCAAATGCAGGCCATGCATCAAACAACAACAGAAGGTTATGTCTGAGACGAGATAAAAGAAAGGTTGAGATGAATTAACTCATGGCAGGAAACAAAAATAATTGTGCAGGGAGGTTTTAATCGCAGTCAAAACAAAACCATGCTCCAGACGCAACAGGTCAGCAAGGGTTAGGGGAAGGGTGTGAATGCGCTGTGTCCAATGCCATTAAACAAACATTAACCTTGAGGCTAACTTAACCTAAACAATGAGTTATGACACTGCAAACAAGAGCAAAGCTCTTTTGGGTCACACACAGCTGTAAGCTGTAAGTGAACAGTACTGCAATGTTAAACATTTAAAATCTGCTAGAACCTTACAACGTTTAGTGGGGATCAAGCATTACTGACATGAAGCACACAGCTCAACAGAAGACATTTGCGGCAATACCTCTGAGGTATGAAATGTGCTTCCTGATTTTGAGACATGGCCATTCTTAATACTTAAATGTGCACTCAGTATTTTTTTTCATTTATGTTGAGTAGCGTTCATGTTGCATTTGCTTAAGTCTCAAGGAAAACATCTCCCAACTAATGCTGTATAATATACATGGGAGGCAGTTGGTACTACATTACTATAATATTGAAGGTTAAAATTCTAATACTAAAACTAAAAGTTAACTTTAACTTTAAATTACATGTTTATATTTCAAATGTTAAATTAATTTGAGTAGAAATATAATTATTTAAATGGTGTCTGTCATAGAAACATGGTGGATTTATTCAAACTTAAATACTGAAGAACAGTAAAAATTATAATGATTATGTTATATGGTGCAGATATTTAGCAAAATGCTCCTCTCTAGAGTTCATTTTTTTAGCTGACTAAAGTTTATGGTCACCAAATTTGTTTGTTTTTTTCTGAGGTAAATGTGACGTTCTTTGAATATTGTAATAACATGCACAGAATTTGAAATCTGAGACTTTCATATCAAAATTAACAAATCACAAAGCTTACTGCGATTTATTGGATGCGATGCGAGCTACAATGTTCTGTTCAATAACTGAAAACAGGTTAGACTAATTGATTCTTGGGATTTAAAGGGGTCCTATTATGCTTTTTCACTTTTTCAACTTTAGTTAGTCTGTAATGTTGCTGTTTGAGCATTAAAATTATCTGCAAAGTTAGATATTTTATTTAACTTTTCAAAAACTACAACAAACGACTCGTTTGGACTACAATGCATATTTTCCGGGATTTGTGATATCACAAAAATCGATGAATGGTTGAGCTGCACTAGAGAAGGCAACGAGTGTTATCACTATGTCGGAGACACGCTAGCTTTCCCAAGGCAGACGAACTTAGAGTGGTTACAATCATCCGGGTTTAAGTCGCGCACAAATTGATTTGATATTGACGCAATATTTACACTGAAGCTCGCAGGCGGCTATGGTAAGGGGTGTGACATTTCCCGACCAGGCGCCGAGTGCTGCCAATCACAACACACACTGGCCCAGCTAACCAATCACAGCGCATTTCGTATTTCAGAAGGCGGGCCTTTATTTGATACAGGAGCTATTCGAGCCGTTCATCCCAGACTGGTGAGAGAGGTGTTGTAAAAATGTAAAATATGTGAAAAATAATGTGTTTTTCGAACAACCTAGTATGAGAGCCTGTTGTAGTACACCCACAAAACAAAATCAAGACTTTGTAAAAGAGCATAATAGGACCCCTTTAAGAATCGATATAGTTTCATAAAAATAAGAATCGATTAAAATTGAGAAATCCATTTTTTTCCCCAGCCCTGGTAATTACTATTTTTTTCTATGTCAAACGTTTTAAAGAAAAAAAAAATTACTGAGTGCAAGAGGTTTACGTAACATCTCTTGTAGGCAGGTGTGTTTTTACACCCCCCACTGTCACGCCTTTTGAACAAATTGAAGCTCAGCTGTTGTAAATCTCTGTAAAACCAGACATTAGCCTACGGTAGATTTTGTTGTAAGAGGTATTGTTGCAGTATAATGGTTTGGAGTGATTTCTGTACCTTGTCCAGCTGAGACACCACCTCCCACAGTAGTGAGTGTAGCACCGACAGCTCACGGCCCAGGTCAATGTAGCCCTCAAAGCCCGGGGTGTTGGAGATAGTCTCAAGATTTGAGATTTCGAGCAGAAAACGGGTCATACCAGCCCACTCGTGCTCCAGGAAGTCATTCATGAAGGCCATGTACTCCTCTTTATTTCCGAATCTGATGCAACAGAGAATATGAAATGCATAAGAAATTCAATAGTACTGAGAGTGCTCAAAGGCAGACAGACACTGCATTTACACACACAAGAATAGTCCAATATTAATACATAATATTAAATGAGAATTTTGCCATACACTGATTATGTAAGTGTCACCTGATTTCCATAACAAAACCAAAATCTGAAACTATGTACATATTATGAATTTTATGAAGTAATCACTGTGTACTGTATGAAGAGTGATCTTGACATACTTGGCAAAGTTAGCGAGATTCTGGATGACTTTGGCAATGAGGGTGAGTGTTCGAGAGGTACGGTCGTCTGGGTATTCCTGCATGAGACTGAAGAGCGAAGGGGACATGATGGCAGGGCACAGGAAACGCAGGAAGAGCGATGCGCTAATCAGACGCTGACTGATGTCCTGCTTCCCTCGAGCATGACACTGCTGCTTCCATGATGCAAACACCTCCTTCAGTTCCCGTGGAAAAACACTGACCAGAGCACAGCAGCAGGTTAGGATGGAACTAATGCAATTGTAAGCATGAGCATATGAACAAACTACAAACAAGAGCAATGAAGTTGTATTTCTAGTTACCAGTAGAAACATTGTGAACTGTATAAACATACTGCCGTTCGAAACTTTGGGGTCGGCAATATTCTTTATGTTATTGAAAGATGTTTCTTATGCTCGCCAAGACGGTAAATATTATTACAATTTAAATAAGTTATTATTATTTTTTTTTATATATTTAAAAATGTAATTTATTCCTGTGATGGCAAAACTAAATTTTCAGCAGCCATTAGAATGTCACATGATCCTTAAGAAACCAGTATTTGTTTTTATTATCGATGTTGAAAACTTGATATTTTTGTGGAAACCATGATACATTTTTGTCAGGATAAAGCTCATAAGAATCTATCTGAAATAGAAATTTTGTACATTATTTGTTATAACTGTCTTCATAATTGTCACTTGTTCGAAACTTTGGGGTCGGCAATATTCTTTATGTTATTGAAAGATGTTTCTTATGCTCGCCAAGACGGTAAATATTATTACAATTTAAATAAGTTTTTTTTTTTTTTTTTATATATTTAAAAATGTAATTTATTCCTGTGATGGCAAAACTAAATTTTCAGCAGCCATTAGAATGTCACATGATCCTTAAGAAACCAGTATTTGTTTTTATTATCGATGTTGAAAACTTGATATTTTTGTGGAAACCATGATACATTTTTGTCAGGATAAAGCTCATAAGAATCTATCTGAAATAGAAATTTTGTACATTATTTGTTATAACTGTCTTCATAATTGTCACTTTATAAATTCAAATTTTTATCAATTTAGTGCATCCTTGCTGAATAAAAATTATGTCTTAAAAAAAATATATATCTTACTGACCCCAAACTTTTGAATGATTTTATAACCATGATCTGGAAAAAAGTCCAGATCATGTTATGAAAAAATAACATTTTATGGACATTGTGCACAAGAAAATCACAGTTTTTAATTACTATGAACCCTACATACAGTATATTCTTTACTTTGTTTCTGTTGTTGTTCAAGCTTCTGCTTAGCTACAATTGAAGTTTATGTTGTACATAAATTATGTCAAGTTCTAGGACCTGAAAAAGTTACCAGTAAGAGTTGATGATCTTGCAGAAGGCCAGCTCACAGCACATCTTCAGGTTACTTTGGTGCTCTGGAAGCTCATTGCTGGAGCACTTCGATGGGTCTACTTCACAATTTTCATCTGACTCATAAAGGGCTTTAATAAACTCTCCTACAAAGCAAACACAAACATATAAGTAAAGGGTCTTCTTGTTACACAAGCTTCTTAATAAATACACCAAGGTAAACGTTTAACTTACCTAGTGCATCATGTAGGTACTTCTGTCCCACCAATTTGAGGTATTCTTCAATGGCTTTGGTGGCTAGCGTGTTTTCCCTAAAGATCAGCACGTCATGATCAGCACAGCGATCCACCTCTGACATCACCAGATCCGTTAGGAAGTCCTAATAAAGAAAGTTCAATCAACTTCTAGTCATAAACAAGTGATTATAGCTAGTTTAAGGTATTGAGATCTCAATTGGCATCATACCTTCGCCCGTCCCGTGCTCTGCAGTATGTGCACGAGCGCACTGGCCATCTCCTCTTTGTTCTTCACGCTGATGACAGGCTCCAACACAGAGCACAACATGGTATAGTTATTGGTCACAAACTCTGCAAACTCTTTGTACTGCTCCATGGGCAGGATGGAGACAGTCTGGAAGCGAGATTTGATGCGAATGGAGGGGCCTCCACCTTTGGTTTTGCTGGTGGTGGGGGTGCTGACCGGATACCATTTCTCCACAAACTGCCTTCCCATTACTCCCTGCACCGGTATGTTCACCAGGCCCACATAGTTGTTTTTGTCCTTTTTCTTTTTCTTGTCCACATCACGATAGATGTGTACAGTGATGCTCTTAATGGACGGAACGCCGGAGAACTCAAAGTGTTCGCCCCAAAACAGGCAGTCAGAGCGGGTTTTGCTGGTGGTGCGGGCATACAGCACGTCATCCAGACACAGCTCACAGAAATACTTCTTTTTCGGTGGCAGATCTTTGGCCTCGATGATCCACAAACGGAGGACGTTTTCCGCTCGTCTGCAGTTGTCCTGGTGATGGAATGACACGGATTGAACCACAGAAGCTCATTTTAAGTATAAAACAAGCATGCATGATTTTGCACTGATTAAAAAAAACAAGCATCTTTGTTACCTTATTAGGCTGCACAGTTCTCTTGAGGTTCTCCATCCATTTGTCCCGTTCAGCAGCAGAAGAGCAGCTGAAGCACTTACTTCCACCCGAGTATGCCACCTACGCGAAGAGGGCGAGAAATTCAGCAATTCATTCAGAGTAAATCATTCATTTAATCCAAATGTTATAATGAACTGAACTGTATCTAATATAACACTTCCAAAATATTATGTGGTTGTACTTACTTGTGATGTCAAGATAGTTACACCATGGTAAAACGTTTGGGGCTGGTAAGATTTTTATTTATTTTTTCCCGAAAGAGAAATTTTTATTTCAAATAAATTATGTTCTATTGAACTTTCAATTCATTAAAGAATCCGGAAAAATTGATTGTTTTCCAAAAAAAATCTTAAAATACACAAATATTTTCAACAATAATAATAAGAAATGTTTCTTGAGAACCACATTTGCATACTTGAATGATTTCTAAAGGAATATGTGACATTGAAGACTGGAGTAATGGCTGCTAAAAATTTTGCTTTGCCATCACAGGAATAAATTACATTTTAAAATGTATTAAAATTGAAAACAGTTAGCTTACATTGTAATAATATCTCACAATATTACTGTTTTAATTAATTTTTCATCAAATAAATCACACCTGAACTACCGCCACACTTGCACAACATCCACACCTTGACATTACTCACATGGTTGGGTTGTTTAATGAGAATTCAGTTTTAAAATGAGAACAGAAGAGAAAATACAGTCATATCATACATATACATACTACCGTTCTACTGTGTTTTTGAAAGAAGTATTTTATGCTCAACAAGGCTGCATTTATTCAATCAAAAATACAGTAGTCCCTGTGAGAATGTTACCATGGGGACCGCCCTATGAGGAGCAGAGGAGCGAGGGATGAGTTGACTACACAAACATCTTAAACACTTCCACACACACACACACACTTCACACCTGAACTACCGCCACACTTGCACAACATCCACACCTTGACATTACTCACATGGTTGGGTTGTTTAATGAGAATTCAGTTTCAAAATGAGAACAGAAGAGAAAATACAGTCATATCATACATATACATACTACTGTTCTACTGTGTTTTTGAAAGAAGTATTTTATGCTCAACAAGGCTGCATTTATTCAATCAAAAATACAGTAAAAACAACAGAAATATTATGAAATATTATTACAATTTAAAAGAACTGCTTTCTTTTTAAATATATTTCAAAATGTTCATTTAAACTTTTACATATTGTTTCAAATTTAAAATATTTTAAATGAACATTCCTGTGATGGAAAAGCTGAATTTTCAGCAGCTATTACTCCAGTCTTCAGTGTCACATGATCCTTCAGAATTCATTCCAACATGCTGATTTGCTACTCAAGAAACATTTCTTAAAAACTAAAAACTTTTATGTTTTTTCTTATGCTAAAAACAATTGCGCTGCTTAATATTTTTGTGGACACCATGACCGTTTCAATAGAAACTTTTTATAACATTATAAATGACATTATTGTCACACTGGATCAATTTAATGCATCATTGCTAAATAAAAGCATTAAAGGGTTAGTTCACCCAAAAATGAAAATTAGCCAATGAATTACTCACCCTCAAGGCATCCTAGGTGTATATGACTTTCTTCTTTCAGGCGAATCCAGTCGGAGTTATATTAATAATTGTCTTTGATCTTCCAAGCTGTTTAATGGCACTCAGCGCGTGTTGCAGTGCATCAGTCCAAAAGAAGTGAAATAAAGCGCATCCATCCATAATAAAAAGTGTCTCACACGGCTCCGGGGGGGTGAACAAAGGCCTCATGTAGCGAATCGATGCGTTTTGGTAAGAAAAATATCTATATTCAAAACTTAATAATCACTTTAATCTAGCTTGCTCCAACTGTTGTACACGGAAGCAGCTCCGGGAGGATGACGTATGAGGTCGGCGTTGTGCATGCGCTGGTGAGTCTCGTGAAAACCAACATTTGTTAACAGGAGCAAAAGAAGCAAAATTTCCTTACTTTAGAAAAGGAAAACCAGTCTCCTCTTGGCTTATATCGAAATCCTCTGACATTCTTCTTTACAAATCCTCGATTTGTACTTCTAATTTGTGACCGTTGTTTTGTTTTGATCTATCCCCTTCGCTTACGCATTCGTGACTTCTGAGCGGCGCATGCACAACGCCGACCTCATACATCATCCGCCAGGAACTGCTTCCGTGAACAACTGTTGGCACAAGCTAGATTAAAGTGATTATTACATTTTGAATATGGATATTTTACTTACCAAAACGCATTGGAGGCCTTTGTTCACCCCCCGGAGCCGTGTGAGACACTTTTTTTTTTTTATTATGGATGGATGCGCTTTATTTCACTTCTTTTGGACGGATGCATGCAACACCCGCTGACTGCCATTAAACAGCTTGGAAGATCAAAGACAATTTTTAATATAACTCTGATTGGATTAATCTGAAAGAAGAAAGTCATATACACCTAGGATGCCTTGAGGGTGAGTAATTCATGGGCTAAATTTAATTTTTGGGTGAACTAACCCTTTCATTTATTTTAAATTCTTACTGACCCCAAAGTTTTGAATTAAAGTCTGGAAAAAAAAAATATATAAAGAATGTCATCAAGTTATAATGGCCTAATTTTGGTTTGTGCATAATTTTATTTATTTTCAATTTACTGAAAATGTGTCCTTGCTGAATAAAAGTATTAATTCCCTTCAAAATATAACATAAAAGAAACAAACAACTAAACTTACTGACCCCAAACATTTGAACAGAAGTGTGTATATGTTTATATATTTATAGATATGCCTGTACAATCAATATGTGTTTTAAAGCAGACCAATATAAAGACTGACCGCAGACTCAGAGTATAATACAATGAAAGTATGTAATACTACTACATAAAAGTCTAAAGAAAATGATTGATAGGAAGAGACAGCTACTCCTGTAACGTACTGTACAGACATTCTCATTTAGTTCTGTGCTGAAGGCCAGAGAAAGATACAAACAAATCAATTATTCAAATGTGCAATTTAAAATCAACAAGCTTTTTGCTCGTTTTCAAGTGTACATTTACTATAAGGTTAAATGCAGTGACTTTGCACATACGATCAGACAGTTGGTCACGCAACATGGACTATCCTGGCATAAGTGCCTAATAGAAAATCTGCTGGCATCAGTTTCTCTCGTTATGAGAAATTGTGGTGATGCCTGCTGACTTAGATAAAAACCAGATTACCACAATGATTGGCCTCTCATCTGGCTCACATCCCAACAGAACCAAACACAGGACCCATCATTTATCACAAAACATCCATTATCTGTCCACATTACCGCATATTTTCTCCGAGATGTGATATTCTAGTCAGAATTGAATATAATTCAGTTATACAGCCCAGATATCGTGGAAAACTAAAAAAAAAACAATACATCATCTCAGGTTGTATGAAAAAACAAACAGCACAATCAATGTAGTGGGATTCGTAAACACACAAATCTTATGAGTTAGCTCTTTTAATAAAACTACTCGAACTCACAAGTTATTGAATCACAAATCAGTCTAATGAATCTTTCACCACGTGAAATTGACTGAACTGACTCACTTACTGAAACTTCTGAATCTGACTCTCAGCCTAAGTGAACTGCCCTGTGGTTTGTAAAACTGAATGCAATTGCATATGGCAAAGTGAAGTTCAAGATACATCTATTCATCTCCTCCATCCAAACAGTATCTCCTTCCGTCTCCATTTACAAAGGCGTGGTACATTGAATTGGACAGCTGATGCAGGAACAGCAGGGTGACTCCTGATGGAGGGCTCACTTCCAGCTCTCGATACGTTTCACCTGCGCTGACTCGGACAGCTAAGCAGATCAGTGCACAGTCAGCCCATATCCGGACACAGCTCTCCCACATTATCCAAGAAATCTGATCGGTCAACTGGGACTGCGGTGCCACATTCAAGCTCTTTACAGTCAAAGCTTCCAAGTCCACTATGAATACAGGACTAGTATTTTCATTCAGACCACATAGTGAGAGGTGATTCTGCTACAGCAAAGGTTGATTACTTCAAAGTCTCTAATGTGCTATTTACATTTTCTTTTCAGCTACGAGTTCAAATGTTTTCCCATAGCCAGCTATTCAGCAAAGCCAAGAAAGCAGAAAACTGTAGCCTTATCTAAAGAGAGGTTTAGTTAGCTTTAGCTAGCACTTGGCATGATCACAATACATGTGGGAACCTATTAAGTTTGGGTGCATTTTCTTTTGCTTTGTTTAGCTTAATGGTACGTCTGACAAAAGTTTTTGTAGTTTGAAATGTAAATGAACAACCGATCAAATAAATAAATAAAATAAATAATAATCCCCACATAATGAATTAAAGGGATAGTTCACCCAAAAATGAAAATTCTGTCATTAATTACTCACCCTCATGTCGTTCCAAACCCGTAAGACTTTCATTCATCTCGAAACACAAATTAAGATATTTTGATGCATTCCGAGAGCTCTCTGACCCTCCCATAGACAGCAAGGTTCCTTACGTGATCAAGGCTCAGAAACGTAGAAAGGAGAACGTTAAAATAATCCATGTGGCATCCATGTGGCATCCAACTGTCATTTTACGAAGCTTTAGAGAATCCTTTTTGTCCGCAAAGAAACCCCCCCCCCCCCCGAAAAAAACCGCCATTTTGGAGAGTATCACATACATGAACAACGTATGCTGTTCTGTGTCAACAGCACTGTACGCGGATACGCTGTTTATGTTGTTTACGCTTTGATCTGAATGTAAACAACGTATCCACTTACATACATTGTTTACATATGTGATACTCTCCAAAATGCCGCTATAGGGTGACGCAGAGACGAATTATTGAATAAAGTCGTTAGTTTTGTTTTCTTTGCGCACAAAAAGTATTCTCGTAGCTTCGTAAAATTACGGTTGAACCACTAATGTCACATGGATTATTTTAACGATATCCTTGCTATGTTCCTAAACCTTGACCATGTAAGGATCCTTACTGTTTTGAGTGAAAAACAATAAACGGACACATTTTTGTTATCTGTAATGTACATTAGGGTGTATTGTTTTACATA